AAATAGTTGTGGGGGCCCTCGCCTGTGTGGCTCAGTGGATACAGTGTCGGCCTGCGGACTGAAGGGTCCCGGGTTCGATTCCGGTCAAGGGCATGTACCTTGGTTGCGGACACATCCCCAGTAGGGGGTGTGCAAAAGACAGCTGATCGATTATTTCTCTCTCATTGATGTTTCTAACTCTCTATCCCTCTCCCTTCCTCTCTGTAGAAAATCAATAATATATATATATATATATATATATATATATATATATATATTTTTTTTTTTTTTTTTTTTTTTTAAAGCTATGGGGTACACTCAGGGATGCTCTGAATGGTTGAGAGGGGACGCTGATGGAGCACATGACAAAAATCGAGGCTGAGGCCAAGACCGGTTTGGCTCAGTGGATAGAGCGTCGGCCTGCGGACTGAAAGATCCCAGGTTCGATTCTGGTCAAGGGCATGTACCTCGGTTGCGGGCACATCCCCGGTGGGGGGTGTGCAAGAGGCAGCTGATCGATGATTCTCTCTCATCGATGTTTCTGGCTCTCTATCCTCTCTCTTCCTCTCTGTGAAAAATCAATAAAATATATATTTTTTTAAAAATCGAGGCTAAGGATCTGCAGAAAGTAAGCAAGATGGGCTCCCTCCCCACACGCCCCAGGAGGGATGCCCACCGGCGTCATTGAACACGGGGCCGGGAAGGAGGTGGGAGGAGGCTGAAATGGAAAGGGGAGGTACATGGTGGTGGGGGGAGCCTTGACTCAGGGCGGTGAACACAATACAATATACGGATGATGTATTCCAGAACTGTACACCTGGAACCCACGTAATCTTATTAACCAGCCGCCCGGATGAGTTCAACAAACAAAACCGTGAAAAGCCCTGGGCCCACAGACCCCACACCCATAGGCGGGCGAAGCCCTTCTCGCTGCAGCGCCATCCACGCACCACGGCCCGCCCCGGACAGCCACACGCGGCGTGTGCTCCGTGGACTGGACCTCGTCTGTCAGGAGTGAGGAGTGATTTCACTTCTATTTCCTCCCCGGTCGTCCAGCCATTTCCTCACAAGACGGAGCTTGTGGGGGCCTATGAGTCAAACACTGCCTGACCCTCCGAATCAATCTGTCCTCTGGGCAGAGCAGCAAACTCCCGGGTCAGACCTCGGCCTCTGCAGCGGCAGGAGCCCACCAGCCCCGGGGGGTGGCTTCTGCCCCGGGGCATGTTCCCCTGCTGCCCGACACACACACACACACAGACACACACACACACACACACAGAGACACACACATACACACACACAGACACACACACACAGACACACACACACACACAGAGACACACACACACACAGACACACATACATACACACACACAGACACACACACACAGAGACACACACACAGACACACACACACACACACACACAGAGACACACACACACACACAGACACACACACACAGACGCACCTGCTACACGCTGCTGGGCTGAGAGCTCCTGCCCCAGAGAAACCGCAGAAAAGCCGCCACCCGGGCAGGAAAAGCTCCTCGGAGGCTGGGCTACCTCTGTTCCCCCTCCCCCTGGGCTGCCGGCTCTCAGAGGGCCCGCCTGCCCGTGACAAACCACCAGGCAGCCTTTTCTGGACGCTGCTCTGGCTCCCTCACACACCCCTCCTGCCCACCATCCCGTCTTCCTGCAGCCCCGTGCTGTGAGGAAAGCACAGGGGTTGCAGTCAACAGGCTTGGGCCAGGGCTCTGGCCGGTCCCTGCATGCCAGGACCTCTTTCACGTCGCTTCTGGGCGCCAGCTGGCAGCCAGGGAAGACACAGCAGGCAGCGCATCTCCCTCCTCTCGGGAAGGCGGGAAGGCGGTGAGAGGCGCAGGTGGGACAGGTTGTTTGGAGATTGCTCGGTGCTATTCTGAGCTCTGGGATCTGAGCCGGTCCTGCTGACGGCTCCACCTCCCTCCGCAGAGCCCCTCCCAGCACATGCTCCCGGCCACCAGGCCCCGGCAGCTCGGAGCCCGGGGGAGACCCATCTCAGATGAACACCGTGCAAACATCGGCGTAGGCCCACTCTGCGCCTGGCTCCAGAACACCCACGGGAACAAATACAGAGCTGCCCCCAGCCCGCCCTGCTGGAAGGGCTAGCACCGTGGTCGGCAAACTCATGCGTCCACGGAGCCAACGATCAACAGTACAGCGACTGAGATTTCTCTGGAGAGCCACGTTTTTTGAACTTCAGCTTCTCCTAACACCACTTCTTCAAAACAGACTCGCCCAGGCCGTGGTATTTTGTGGAAGAGCCACGCTCAAGGGGCCAAAGAGCCGCATGTGGCTCGCGAGCCGCAGTTTGCCAACCACGGGGCTAGCAGCGTGGCTGTCTGTTCATGGGGTGGGCCAGGGCATCTGCAGGAGAATCTGCTCCATGGTGAAGAGTCAGACCTCACAGGCATTGCCAGAGTCAGGGTGCCCTTGCTGACCCCCTGGGACGGAGGAGCGGTGGGCAGACTCGGCTCCCTGAGAAACCAGGGTGGGGGCCTGGAGCACAGGAGCCAGACGCCTTTCGGAGCCCGGCCTGGCCCAGGGGGAGCCTAACAGCCTCTTACACCCTGTGCTCTCTGTCTCCATCTGGAAGAAGTGGACAAGAGGCCCGCGTTGGCCTGACTCATAAGAGTGGAGGGCAAATGAGGACAAAAGGGCAAGAACAGTGAGAAAGTGCTTTAAGAAGGAAAGGGCTTTACCAGCAAGGGATTAACATTTTTCCTTCAGGGTCCTCCCCAGACAAGCTGAGGTCATCACCACGCCCTGCCCCTGGCTGGCCTATCAGGACCGACTGAGAGGCTTCCATTCCAGCTGCATCGCTCTGCACACCATCGCCACTGGACTACCCAAGCCGCCAGCCAGTCCTCCCAGTGGAGGGGACGCCGTCTCCTTGCCATACTCTTCTCACTGCCCTGCCTCCCCCAGCCAGGGTGCCCCAGATGAGGCTTGCTGACAGACTAAACCACGACCATCCTATCCCCACTGCCCCAGGCCTGGGCCCAGAGGACCTGAGAGAGCCGCCTCCTCCATCCCCTCCCCTCTAGCAGGACTCCCGGACGCTGGCTCAGACGGCAGACTGCCTCCTGCCTGCCTATGTCCGAGACCCCGAGAAGGGCCTCCAGGATCCGAGACCCAAACCATCCCACTGAGCTCAAAACAAACAAGAACAAAAACGTGTTTACAGAGGGGAGGCATCCTCTGCTTCTATCTCACAGTCATTTCCTGCAGCAACTGCTGTCTCTTGCATTCAAATTAAGAGTACCCTTGGGAGGTTCTCACCCAAACCGTCAGCTGTGCCAACAGCCCTGTCCCTGGCAGTGTGTCTAAGGCCTAAAATTATTTTTCACACACACTCAGCACGGTTCTGTTCCTAGGAGGACTTCAACCCATTTTTTTTCTTTTTCTTGGCGTGTGATGTCTTCCTCAGCCCTTTTAAAATGCAAATGTCTCTGACGGAAGGAAGCTTCTTCCACTGGCCCAACCCCAGTTCCCACACAACAACTATGTACGGAATTAAATCGGCTCCTGGATGCCTGTCCTCACAGGCACGGGTCAGAGCCCGGGGGTGCAGAGGGGCGGCCTGGGCTCGGAGCCAGGCCTCCTGTCACCAACCTCCGGCGGGCCCCGGGCAGGCCTGCCTGCCACCGCGAGAGAACTCGAGTTGCAATGAAAGTAAATCTGAAATCGCCAAATAAGGAAACTCTGCAGGAGGTGCAGAACCAGCTGAGAAAGTCTGCCGCGGGGGGGGGGGGGGGGGGGGGGGGGGGGGGGGGGGGGGATCCGTCAGGAACGCGGTCCCAGCCCTGGCCGGCTGGGTGAGAGCGTGGGCCTGGGAACCGCGGGGCGGCGGCTTACATTTCTGGTCAAGGGCACCTACCACGGTGGTTGCAGGGTGGATCCCTGGCCCCAGTCTGGCGCGTGTGGAAGGCAACTTCTCTCTCTCACTCTCTCTCTCTCCCCTCTCCTCCCCTCCCTTACATTTTCTCTTAAAAAAGAAAAGAAAAGAAAAGAAAAAAAAGAGCCCAAACCGGTTTGGCTCAGTGGATAGAGAGTCAGCCTGAGGACTGAAAGGTCCCAGGTTCGATTCTGGTCAAGGGCTTGTACCTTGGTTGCGGGCACATCCCCAGTGTGGGGTGTGCAGGAGGCAGCTGGTCGATGTTTCTCTCTCGTCGATGTTTCTAGCTCTCTATCCCTCTCCCTTCCTCTCTGTAAAAAATCAATAGCAAATATTAAAAAAAAAAAGAGAAGAAGAAGAAAAGAAAAGCAAGAAAAAGAAAATCAATGGGAAAAATTATCCTCAGGTGAGGACTTTATAAGAAAGAACATGGGCCCACTATTCATTGAACATTCTCAGAACTGCCAAAACCCCGCGGACCGTAGCACGGGGGAGGCACTGTGGTGTGGAAACTCGGATGGCACCAATTCTCTGCCTGCCCCTGGGAAACTCATTCACTTCTGAGTCCTGGTTTCCCTCCCAGGCACCTTCCTTTGAGGGGTGCGTGTCTAAGTGCGAGGTTACCATTCATTCCAGCATAAAGTTTCATTTCACCCTGGAATGCGCAGGTTGGAAAGCCGTGCAAAAGTGGAGGGGACCCCTAAGGGGACAGAGAAGGATCCAGGGGGGTGGGGTGCGGGGGTGCGGGTGCACCCCAACTCGAACCTGGCCCTCCAGCCCACAGCCGCGCTCTAGAGCAGCTCCCCTGCCCGGGACCCGTGTCCGTCCTCGCCACACCCCTCCTCCCCACCGCACCCGCACCCGCACCCGCACCCGCACCCGCACCCGCACCCGCACCCGCCGGCCTCCCTGCGCCAGGCGGGGACTCGCTGGGGCCCTAGCAGCGGGGCGCGGGGCGCGGGGCGCGGGGGCATGAAACTTTCGGTTTCAGAGTAGACGGGACAAGCCCAAAGCGCTCCCGAGTCCCGCCACCCCAGCCCCACAGCCCACAGGTGCCCCGGGCGGGCCTGCCGGCCGGACTCACGTATGGCTGCCGCGCTGGGCTCCGCGGCGCCGTCCGCAGGCGCTGGCTCCTCCGGGCAGCGGGCACCAGCCAGGCCGGCGAGGCGGGCGCTCTCAGCCCCCAAGCCCAGCGCAGGGCCCGCCCCCGAGGAGGAGGACGAGGAGGAGGAGGAGGAGGAAGAGGAGGAGGGGCGGGCCGGCGATGGGGGGCGGGGCCCAGGGCGGGGCCCCAGGGAGCAGTTGGCGAGGTGGGTGCAGGATCCAGACCTTCAGATGCACTGGACTGGAAGGTGATGGGCAGGAGGCACTGAGTTACCCAGAGCAGATAGAACTTTTAAAATTATATATATATGCTAGGCGCTCAGCAAGTGCTAGAGCCACAAGTTGAATGCAGTGCGGTGGCTCTAGAGTCCCGTATCTAGGGCTCTTTTCCACCAAGTCTTTGTGAGCAGAGGTTCTGAAGGATGCGTGCCGTCTACATAAACCTCCTGTGGAAATGGATAGCACATAAAGAGCATGGACTTTGGATGGAAATGGACCAAAGTTTCAATGCTAGCTTCTTCGGTTTCAGTTTGGCAGCCATGGGAAAGTTACTTAACTGCCCTGGGCTTCCAGGACTGGTCAGTAAAAGGGGGAAACAATGACATAGCCAGCTCTGATGCGCATAGGAGTCAGGCAGGAAACATACAGCAGGGAGGTTATTTTTTTTGTGTTGCATTTTTTCAAAAAATATTATGATTTTTTAATGTTGGGGAAGGGAAGGAACATTGGTGCATGTAAGAGCACTTATGGGGTCTCAGGGAGCAGCCAGGCTCAGTGCCAGCCTGTCTTTATTTTTCAACAGGAGCCAGACATTCAGATGCAAACCTTTTGGTCGGTGAGCCAGACTAACCACTCCATCCCAAAGTGGGGCCTGCCGGCATGGCTCCGGGACCCCAGAGCCACCTCACCATCTTGTTGTGAGAATGAAATGAGGTGATGACATTCCTGCTCTCCTGACACAGAGCAGGTGTTCCATGAACCTTAGTATTTCTCTCTGTTCCCCACACAGTATACCTTCCTCCCTCTTTCTCATTACCCACCCCCCATCCCCAACACTGTAAGCGATGTGTTTGATAAAGGTATATCTCCTTTCACTGGCTAGAAACAGGAGTGTCTAGTATGCATATATGCAGGTATGCTCAGGGCCCTCGGTACCAGCACTGACTGTGATTCATCTGTTTCTCCCTGCCCCTCTTCTCCATCAACTGAATAAAGCAGTCAATATGCTTTAAGAAGAATATCTAAGCTTTAAATGTGATGGGGATCAGACGCTGGAGTAGATAGTGAATCACCAAGGTGGTAAGTACAGACCACATGACCCCAGGGCTAGGCGCCTAAGTAGCAAGGTAGAGGGATTTTATTTTATTTTATTAATATATTTTATTGATTTTTTTACAGAGATGAAGGGAGAGGGATAGAGAGCTAGAAACATCGATGAGAGAGAAACATCGATCAGCTGCCTCTTGCACACCCCCTACTGGGGACGTGCCCGCAACCAAGGTACGTGCCCTTGACCGGAATCGAACCCGGACCCTTCAGTCCACAGGCTGATGCTCTATCCACTGAGCCAAACCGGTTTCGGCAGTAGAGGGATTTTAGATGGCTGATAGTAGGAAGTCAAGAACATCTTCCCAGGTCCCCTTGTAAATCGCAGAATCCTAGGCGGGGTGTCCGGAAGAACAGAGGAAACCAACCCTGGGACCTAGCCCAACCCGATGGGGAAGACATGGTCCCTTTGCTGAAGGATCTTGAAGATGGATGGGAAGAAGAGGAACAGGACATACAATACAAACATTACATACTCGCAGTTATAGCTACGATTTATTGTCTTATTATGCACCAGGCAATGCTCTCAGTGCTTTATTCATATTAACCCATTGAATCATCAGGTCTATGTTATAGATGAGAAAAGTCATCTCTGGAACCACTTGCCCAAAATTGCCAGTTTTTCAGTCTGGGAGAGGTGGGGTTTGAACCTGTGCAGTTTGATTTTGGTGCTCTTAGCCACTATGCCACCCTGCCCCTCAAAGATATGGTTGGTGTGGATTCAAATAAAATAACAATGAGAAGGAAATAAACATTAGCAGTTTGAGTGTTTTTAACTATTTGCAATAAACAGAATCAGTGCTGAATTTGGATTCATCTACTAAAATGAGGGCAGGATTGAACTATACACTAACTTTTTACACAGAAGAAAAGGGCTAAATATTTATATGTTCCTTCTAAACACCCTAAGATTATCCTGACTTCAGAAAGACATAGCTTCCAGCCGTATGGCTGGATAGATCAAGAGGGTAAAATATTGCAGCGCCGGCTGGCAAAGAAGTAGTGCAGAGGGAGAGAGCAGGGAGCCACCTACTGGAATAGCAGATGGATGCATCCTCTTCCTCAGGCCGCCCTTCCCTGACAAGATTGATCAACGCAGTTAGTGGTTAGTTAACACGGGGTAAACGGTCCTATCTTCATCGTTTAGAGATGAGTGAGATCAGGCAAGGAGGAAGTATCCTCTCCTTGGGTCTTAGATTGCACCTCTAACTTCCACTGCGAGTGATAATGGAAAGTCTTTGCATGTAATGGAAAATATGATAGAGCAGAAACCACTGTCAGGCAAAAAAGCAGACTCAGGGTCCCGAGGACATAGAATGCTCACTTGCTCACCAACAGTCCTATATTGAGCAATGAATGAATGAATGAATGCCTGTGGATTCTCTGTACTTAATTTCTTCACCCAGTGATATGTGGCACCTTTGCTTTCATCAAACGACCTTTTCCCAGGTGTCAGTGTGCTGATGGCACCACAAGAAGAGAGGCAGGGAGTGTTGAGTAGGGACGGGGTGAGCTTCCCCGAGGACTGATGTAATTTTTTAAATAAAAGGCTTCCTTTTCAAGGACTCTTTTTCCAAGGATACATCTGTGAACGTACCACAGTTCACTCACCCATTCATCCATTCATCTACTGAAGGACATCTTGGTTGCTTCCGTATGTTGCAATGATAAAGAAAGCTGCCATACACATTGGTGTGTGGGTTTTGGTGTGGACATACATCCCCTGTATCTGTGCACCCAGCAGCTGCTCTTTTAGCTTAAGAGCTCAAGAAGGACTGTGTGTGGGTTTTTGTTTGTTTTGTGTGGGTTTTTTTTTCCCTACTTGCGTCACTCTATTCTTATCTATTATGTGTGGGCCCAGCACCCATTTGAAAAGGCCTATGCTGTCCCTGTATTTGTTCCAGGGGATTCCTCTCACAATGCACACACGCACTTGCTCATGGGAAGATCTATCCACTGAGGTCAATGGGGTGTGAAAATCCCCTACGATGACTGTATTACTCAGTCTCTCCCTTTATGTCCATCAAGATTTGCTTACAAGAGAGATAAGAGATCAACCGAAGGACTTGTATGCATGCATATAAACAAAACCAATGGATGAAAAACTCTGGGGAGGGAGGGCGTGTTTGGGAGTGGGGGTGGGGGCAATGGTAAGATATGTACACATATAATACCTTAATAAAAAAAATGAAAAAGCCATTTCATGAAAATGAAATGGCTCAGTGGATAGAGCGTCGGCCTGCGCACTGAAAGGTCCCAGGTTCGATTCCGGTCAAGGGCATGTGCCTTGGTTGCGGGCACATCCCCAGTAGGAGGTGTGCAAGAGGCAGCTAATCGATGATTCTCTCTCATTGATGTTTCTAACTCTCTATCCCTCTCTGTAAAAAATCAATAAAAGATATTTTTAAAAAATGAGAAAAAAAAAGATTTGCTTTACATATTTAGATGCCAACTTTGCAAAGGATTATAACCTCTTGTTGGACTGCTTCCTTTATCTCTATGCAATGTCCTTCTTTGTCTCTCACAAAGTCTATTTTGTCAGATATAAATGTTGCTATCCCAGCTTTTTTTTTTTCTTTCATTTGTATGGAATATCTCTTTTAGTCTGCGTGTATCTTTCCTTCTGACGTGGGTCCCCTAAGACAGCATGTATAAGTGTCTTGTATCTTATTCATTCAGCTACTCTAAGCCTATTGATTAGATCATTTATTTATTTTTTAAATATATTTTATTGATTTTTCACAGAGAAGAAGAGAGAGGGATAGTTAGAAACATCGATGAGAGAGAATCATCGATCAGCTGCCTCCTGCACACCCCCCACTGGGGATGTGCCCGCAACCAAGGTACATGCCCTCGACTGGAATCAAACCCAGGACCTTTCAGTCCGCAGGCCGACGCTCTATCCACTGAGCCAAACCGGTCTCAGCTGATTAGATCATTTAAAGCCACTTACATTTAAAGTTATTATTGAAACTTGACCTTTTGGGGTACTGGATGCTCCGACCAACTGAGCCAGACCAGTCAGGGCAGCTGTTGAGAGATGGGTTATTGAAATTACAGACTTTACTAGCAGATTGGCTTGTTTGTTTGTTTTTTCTTGCACTTCTATCAGGTATTCTCTTGGGAACTGGCACCTTTATCATTATTAAGTGACCATGTTTATCCTTGATAACATTCTTTGCTTTGAAATCTTTATCTGACTTTAATATAGTTTCTCCAACTTAAAAAAAAAATCAGCCCCTGAGGATATGTTTATTGATATTTAGAGAAGGGGAGAAAGAGAACTACATCCATTTGTTGTTCCATTTATGTACTCATTGCTGGATTCTTGTTATGTGCCCTGACTAGGCATATCGGGACAACACTCTAACCAACTGAGCTACCCTGCCAGAGCAACAGTATGTTATTTTTTTGTTTGTTTTGTTTTATTTTATTGATTTCTTACAGAGAGGAAGGGAGATAGTTAGAAACATCGATGAGAGAAACATCGACCAGCTGTCTCTTGCACACCCCCTACCGGGGATGTGCCCGCACCAATGTACATGCCCTTGACCGGAATCGAACCTGGGACCTTTCAGTCCGCAGACCGACACTCTACCACTGAGCCAAACCGGTTTCGGCAGTATGTTAGTTTTTTATTGCTGCATAACAAATTACCCCCAAACTAACTCAAACACTCGTTACTTCATAGTTTCTGTGGTGTTAAGAAATCTGAGCACAGCTTAGCCGAATTCTCTGCTTCATAGTCTCTCAGAGGCTG